TCAAAACAGAAAACAGTTTCAGTAAAGAAATCCCATAAATACAACAGGTCACAAAATGTTCAACATTTGTCGGTTTCTGAAATATCATAACTAGTTATTTAGGAACTTAATACAAGATTTAGAAATGAATGGAGTTTTACGTCCTACTTTTCTGCAATACAAGATTTAGGTTTTCAGATGTACCACATGCGAATTTTATGAACAAAATTATGTATCTTCAAGACCAGGTTGTGAATGAGTGAATTCATCTCTTGTACATTGGACGACAAAGATGTCATCGAAATTGGAAATAGAAACTGAATCTATATCTTCAGGTTCACTACCACAGCAGATGTCTGTATACCTTGATAGGGCATTTACACTCTTTGGACATGAGAAAATGGATCACTTAGTTCTTTAGGCTATGGGAGCAAGTCAAATGCTGTTGTCCAGTAAGCTTGAAAGCAAGATGTTATCTTCTCAAGTTTTAGGCTTGTCAAACCATGCTTTCACCAGGTCAAGTAAAAATCTGATAATGCAGGCTGGATTATATTTTCCATTCCCCCTAGATGAGAATTAAATTGAAAAGAAAGTGACTCATGCTTAGATTTGTATTGTATTCAATTGGGTTTAAGAGGGAATGGGATGAATCCATAGATCAATCTGGACACTTAAGTGATTCTTTTATATCATTACAAGATAAAATTGAGGCTTACGGTATGCACTGATGCTGTATATTATAATTATAGGTTCACTAATTAGATATATTTTATCATATGGAATTATCATCTTCTGATGAAGATTTGTTTTATTGGATGTTCTTGCAAATGCTTGTGATCTTAAATGATCTTGATGTTAAACTAACTAAAATCACATGACAAATCTCGACATAAAGACAAACATGACCACCATAAATCACCAGCTAGTTGCATAGCGTAAACAACACTTCAGACTACTGTTTGGGAATAATTGGAAAATTTGCCATAGATAGTATTTGAAAATAATTCCTTTTAATTTAGTTTGATGTTATTTTTCCGATATATGAAAACCTACTTTTGTGCTATGTATTAACTAGGTTTCCAGTTGAGTTAAAATATGATAAATCAACATGATAAAGATCTTCAAAGGAATTATTTCAAGGAGGAACCATGTTGAAAGATTCATAATCATAGTCTTATTCTCAATTTGTATGTAAAGAAATACAGTGGCGCGGCCAGGTTTACGTCCGAGAGGGGGTGAATTATCTGAGATTGCCTGAATTTCTAACCTAGTTATGAGATTTTTGCTCAAAACTTGCTTTCGGGGCTGCGAGGGGGGCAATGAAAAAATACACAGAAAGATAAATCTATTATTGGTGTTTGGTTACATAGAAATCAAGCAATTATGTCCCATTCAGAGATCCATATTTGATTTTTAGACCTGAAACAGTACACTTTGAGATGCTTTCTGTGTTTTCTCAACATGTTAAGAAAGTCTTGTATTAACCTCAAAAGTATGTTCAATGAGTGTGCATATTGAAGGGGTTTACAACGTGTTGAACTTTATGTTCACCATTTTCAGCCATATCATTTTTATATAAACTACTGATTTCTATAGTTTGGAAAAGAAATCAGTGACCCTTGAGTATGTAATTTTTCTGGAAAAAATATGGAGTCCTCACAAATAAGCGAAAAAATAAAAGAAATAATTATAGCTGAAAAAGTAAAGAATTGTTCAGAAGTAATTACTTTGTTCACAATCATCCAAACACCATTTAAATATAACATTCTTGAAAGTGAAACCATTCTCTCTTGAAACAAAGATGAGGCGCATCATAAACAGCACAGCTAATAAAAGTTTGGAATTGTATCCCATACATACATTTCACAATAGTTCAATTACATTAAGTGAACATAAATTTAACCTCTAAAACTTTCACAATTGTGTGACGTAAATAACCCATGCACTGATGACATAAATTCAAGATAATCTTTACAGCACAATAATGGTTTGTTTATAGTGTATGCTTTTGAGTATGTATTGATCTGTAGTGTCTTTTACTATGTAAAAATGTTAATTGTACAAATATCCCAGCATAAACAAGTAGAACTTTTAAAAGTTTAATTTCTTTTCAAGTGAATCTTTGTTCGTTAACAACCAAACAAAACTAATGCATTACGGTATACCACAAAAGGTGTTAAAGATATGTCACATCAACTAAGAACTTTGTCCATACATTATACAGGAACCTTACACTAATTATTACATCTTAATTGTTATTTATAACATTTTGTTTGAATTTTTTTTTTTTTTTAATAATTCAAATCGTTTTATCACTCTGAAAAATTGATTTTTGTCACAGAATTTGATTTTAGAATTAAATAAATCATCATTGTGTTTATGTTTGATGAAAAATACTCCATAAAATGCAAAATGATCTCTACCACAAAGGTACATTTCACTTAACAAGACAGGTCATAAAAAGATGCTAGAATGCGATTATGTTTTATCTGCCTGGAAATTAGAAATATCATTGCATTGTGAAACAGATTTATATTCAGCAAATGATCAAATAACTATTTCAATCTCGAAATAATTGAATAAAGTCGAATTACTATTTCTTCCTCAATAATTGATTTATCAATTTATGATACATTTCATTTTTTCAATTACGTTAAAAGCTCCTTGATAAGATTCCTTCGAAAGATTTAAGCAATAATTTTATTGTCTGATCCTTTCAAATTCTCAATATCAGGTGTTACTGTAATTAGAAACTCAAAAATTAAACCATTTTATGAATTATTAAATAAATCAATAAACAGATTTTCATGACTTGGTTATTTAGGTAAGATTTTTAAGACTTTAATTATTATCTGAGATCTATAGATCAGTAAAGGATAAGGTAAATAGTCTTTGTTCCAATTACCAACAAGTGCCAGAAACATAAACTATGGGTTAACTTCAACATCAGTTACCGGTATTTATTGTCATAAAGTCAATCAGATAATGTTCGTAGAATTTCTTAAAATTACAAATCCCTTCAATTGGTAGCTAGTTAACTATATGACCAAAATACCAATTAAATTGATATTTATTTATTTATGACTAAAAAATACAGGCACCCTGTCCCTACTCAAAAGATTCAAATGCAGAGTTTTTGTACATTTTATGACATGTCCATAGAAATATTAAGTTTGATAACTTGCATTCGAATTAAGCAATTTGTTGCAAGTATTTGCATGTGATGTGAAAAATGACTCGCATTTTAAGAGAAGGACAAGGTTCAACTAAATCAAAACTGTTGAAATTTACTTCAATTAATTCAGAAAAACAGTTATTTGCAAACTATTGATTTGATGACCTAGGCTGGGACTAGACACCCGTGAATGTAGTCACTAAATGAACTTAAAATAGATACCAGATAAATCTCCGTTTCGAAATCTGCAATTCCAAATTGTAGCTAATCTTTAAAGGAAATGAATTATCTAGCCAGTTATCGGAATTCGTGACGCCATTTTGTTTCTTGCTGTAGCTGGCAGGTGCGCATTTCGATCACTCTTGCACTTTTCTTCCAACAATTTCACGACCTTTCTCTTAACTTGATATCATTTCCAAACAATCAAACTTACTTCAATAACATATATTTGTTCTCAAAGAAATATATCAATGCTAATACTGATAATTTCTATGTATTCTTCAATTTAGTACTAGTAGCCCTATCATCGTCCATTCTTTCTTCTCAATATATGCAAATTAGGTTTATTTACTGCGTGCCGGACAGAATAATGTAAATAATAAAAGAGTATAACTCATGTTAAGAATCCAAAAGTACGATTCTTAATAACTGTTCTATGAATTTAGAAAGTAGAAATATTTTTTTGATAGAGAAAAGAATTGCCTTTTAGGCCAATGAACAATCCAGGGAACCGGATCTGTCATGTTTATAGACAACCAAGATGGCGACTAAGATATTTGTGATTTTTGTTTTACTAAATATTTTTCTTATAACTTCTGCACAGAATCTCTTTTTTACATATCAAAAACCATCAGATTGCATAGGAGAATCATCTCCGGTATATTTTGATCTTATGACATTATCATGTCAACCATGTTCTGATCTAACAGTTCAAAAAACTAGTGCAGATGGTAATTTTAGAGAAATTTCTTGTCTCAACAGGTTCCCTTGCCCGAAATTTTCTTTAAACGTTCGATTTGATGTCTGGTATTATCATTATCTCAATTACGAGAAGAATTTTTTACAAACTTTAAAACTCATATTATATTTATCAACGCAAATTCTAAAGACTATCATGAATCCTCTCAGTCAGTTATAGTGTACAGATATGGCATGGATAGAGTGGTTCACTCACTTTTCATTTCCTCTTGCCCAAATGATTTCATTCCTGTGGTGATATTCAAATTCACTTATAGAAAACAGGCAAATTATTAAAGAAATTTTTCGGCATAAAGCCTGCTGATCATGTTGATTATTATGCCTAATAGATTAAGCTAAAAATAAATTTAAATTTAATAAAAATCTGAATTAAGCTTACATACAACTATAAAATTATATTATATTTTACAGGATTGAATTGTGAGTGTCAACCAGGGTATAAATATACTCAGAATTTTGGTGGTTCTAAAGTCACCTGTGAATCATGTGGGCCTAATGAGGTAAAGTGACATTAGTATTTTAACTTTGAATTTGTTTTTACTGTACTCTTAAAACTGAACTGAAAGTAGCAGTTTAAAAGTAAATTCCCCTGTGCTATCACTTATATTTTACCTTTTCATCAATCTTATGATCCATAAACTTAAAATAATTTTTTGATAAAAACTGTACAGGCAAGACAATTCCGTTCATCAAATTCTCATCCAAAGTATGGCGAAATCTAAGGAAGAGTTTTAGTGAACTCTTCTATAGAGAAGTATCATTAGGTGTTTCAAAAGAGTAAGAATGGTCTTCTTGTTTCATAATTTGCAGGCTGTATCAGCTGATGGTTGGGAATGTATAAAATGTAATACAAGTTTTATAGCAGAAACCAAAACATGCCAAGGATGTCAACCAGGTCAAGTATCAGGTAGGTTATCAGAAAATACCTTCTTCGAAAGATACACCTAAAAACTAGCAATAAACCATCTGAAGTTCATAAAACAAGCAATACATCTTCAAATGACATTAATGTAAAACCAAAATTCACTTCACAAAGGATTTTTTTCATAGGAATGATTCAACATAATTATACCAATGGTATATGTATTTTGACCTATTTTATTTTTAGTGGAAAGAGCAGTAGATGGAAACTGGATAATAGACAATACAACTATTTGTAAAACATGTGCCCCATACACCCATCTTAGTGAAGAAGGAGACAGGTAATTTTATTCACCTATCATCTTGGTTTCTTAAAGCTTTAAGCTTATATGAAAAATAGTAGCCTACATGAGTCAATGCTGAAAGGGACAGGTTTGCCATCTGTTTGACCAATCATACCTTAGTCTCAGAAATTTGTATTTTTTAGCTAATCTGATCAATAATATTGTTACCAGAAGAAATTTGAGCCTTCAAATTCATGTCTGTCTGAAATTATCATTGTTTGAAAGTTAATATGATGACTTGAAGTATATCCATAATAGATTTCCTTTTATCTATGTTTTGTCAACATCTACATGTCATTCAAAGAATAATGAGTATTGATATTATATTAATTTGTAGATGTGTGCGATGTAATAATATATTAGGTATTCGACCAGATTTATCAGATTGTCAATGTACTGGAGATGAAGCAGTAAGTAATTTTAAAAAATCTTGATCTCAGTTAATTGCATTACCAATTTCAATTTAAAAAAATAAGTAATTGACAAAAAAAAAATTCTCGAATATATTTACAGCCCACTTCATAAATTACCCCATCACGATAAACCTCTCAATTAGTCAACTAATGAAATTAGAGGCTAACCGATCATCTCAAATCAGGCACGGTTACCTATGAAATCCTACCCGAAATGGGTTAAGTGATTAGCCGTTTCAACACTAATCATTAATTTAAAAGTAGTATTGTCTAAAAATAAAAGTTCTGAGCGTGGTTATATATAACGATTTAGATTGTTTAGATATTTATTTTGTTTGGTTTAATCTTTATGAAATACAGGATATATAATTAGATGAAAGAGGGATTATCGAACTTCTTACAAAATTACATGGATAGTTTGATAAATAAACTGTTTCCTGATAAATTTATGTGAGACCTTATGAATATGGTCTTTATTTCAGGCTGGTGGATTTTGCTTTAAAACTGATGATGATTTGGTAACAGAAAATAATCAGCTGTATACAATACCATTAGAGGTAATTTTCTGTCTTTAATTTGATTCTGTTATTCCAGTATACATATGAAGAACAATTGTTTACTTTGTGTTCCCAAGAAAACATTTTGTATATATGAGTCGGTCAGTAGTAGAAAATTAGTGTGTACAATTCTATTCATTTTAGGAATCATCAGTAGAATCTTATTTCTTCAAACAGAATATACGATCTAGTGAGATCTTATGCAAGGTAATTAAGCTTTTTCTTTAGTTGTATTGTTATCAAAGCTAGTAAGTTGTCTGTAGAAATATTGAGTGCAGTCTATCATATACCAGTGTTTTTTGAATGAGGTAGTGGGATTTTGTGTTGGTTGTAAAGCTTGATTTTTTTGTCATATTTCTCCTATCAAAAGTAGTATCCCATATCAAGAGTAACACTTTGTGCCCAATGCACCACATACTGAGTGGTGGTTTGTTGTATTTTATTAGTTGTTTACTATTTGTTTATTAGGCATATTATTTTTATCAAAGCTAGTTGCTTATGAAAACAGTAACCACTTAATGCTCCAGTACATCAGTTGTTGTATTCCTTAAGTTATGTTTTTTTCTTCAGAATTATGATAATATGACAGCATGTCAAGTATTGGTGAATATGTGTTCTCTATTACTATATGATCTTGGTTCTAGTAGAACTGGTAGTTCCCAGGCCTGTACATTACTTAATGATATTTCAGATATGTAAGTACATGTACATTGATATATAACATAAATTTCTATTTACATCCCATTGACTGAGCATTGCAACAAGGTTTTGAATTTTTTCTATATTTTTTAAGACTTCCAAATTGTTAGTTTTATTTAATGATAGATGGAAACCAATTTTTGGGATTTAACGTCTGAGTGAAGGAGTATTTTTTCTCTAATTATAGCAATCCATTCAAGAAAAATGTCTATTTAACACAAGAAGATGCTGAAGATTTAATTTATGTTAATGATATTCCCACCAGCTTCACATTCTCACCATTAATGTCTCTAGAATTTGTAGCAGGGGAATTCAATATAAATGGACAGTTCCTGGGTTTTAAGGAAGTAACTGGAGGTCTTCTACAGATCTGTGATCATCCTGAAAATGTCTTAGATGCTGCTTTTGTATTTGGTACTGTGTATTCCAGATCAGTAAGTATGACTTTTGAAAGGACAGATAATAAATTTGTTGCAAGCTGTTTTGATAATTGTAACCATTTTTGAAAGCATTTTCAAAAGGAGGTATTTATGGATGAATATGATCCACACTTAAATTTTTTTTCTGGTTAAGAAGTGGGCTTGGTCAGTTTGCTCCCTCTGCGCTATTCTTGTCAATGAAAATTTTACTTTATATGATCTAACTATTAACTAACAGCAGAATTTCAATGTAATTTTTTTTTTTTCAGTGTGATTTGAAAGCATTGAAGCTGTGGGATAAGATAAAATATCCAACATTATTTTATGATTTATGTATCCTTTTATAAAAAATTCACGGGAAAGGTATTTAACTTCAACAATCAGATGCATTCTTTCACAGTTGAAAATTGTAAAAATTATATTCTGAAGAGTGATAAGTTGCAAACAATGAAGAATATTATATGTTCTTATATATAATCTGTTTGTTGTTGTTGATCTTAACTAATATAAAGATATGAAATATAGAGAGAACTCGGCAGATCAGCTACATACAATACCTATTAATGTATTAAATTATAGAGATAATAGAGGAAATCAAGTCAATAGAGGTAAGAATTATTACTATTATTATTATATGTTAATAATCTGAGCTCTTGTACCATGAAAATTGAAGACTAAAATATAAGCTCTGTGTAGGTGATAATAGGGATTCAAAGCCCACTTGCAGTAGCACTGCTTCAGAGCTATTCTTAGCTTGAGGTTGCTTTCAAACCCATAGTAATAACCTATCAGATGACAATCCAACTCACTGTATTGCAGCGAAAAAAAACAAATTTATTTAAGTATTTTGGCACAGATTTAGTTTGGAAACTTACCTAAGGTCCTCAAGTGCAATGGCTCCAGTAAACACATAATATTTGTTTATATATTTTCATTTGTTTTGTTGTTTATAGGTGGAATGAATAGCTGGAGAATTGTTAAGAGGTTTTTCTTAGTTGATAATGAAGCTGGTGTAACAGGTAGAATTGTATAACTGTTAGATTGTTGATATATATGTATATGACTAAAGTTTGGTTATGGTTCCAATGGATAATCTTGGAATAATTCTATCTCTTTTCTATTTATGAATGTTTCTTCTCTGTAAGAAGTGAACAAGAATGAATCTCTTTTTTCACTTGAAATGATTTTGTTCTCTAATAGAAGGATAATGATGATTTGTTTTTTAAAGGTGAAGGTCAAACAGCTACAGTTGTAAGATATGCCAAGTCAATAAAATTAACAATAGAACTACAGAGTGAAACTAAGGAAGGTAAAATCTATATGCCATATTTTACTATAGAATATGGTGAAGTCAGTAGAGCAGATGCTGAGGAAGGAGCGAAAGTCTCAGTAAGTACATGTATAATGAAATCAATCATCTACTTCACTATCTATGATGCTGTGTTCGTTTCCTGTGGAAAGATGTAATCACCATGTTGTATGTATTCAGCCAAAGTCTCAGAATTTTAGTGTGATTTCATAATATATGGTTAAAGATACTTGCCTGTTACAAACTTATAACATGGTTATAGTTATAACATGGCTCTTAAGTTCTTATGTCACAACCTGAATGCTTCATTGCTAATAGCGTTGCTGAGATCTGAAGGAAAAATTATTTTTTATCAAAGGTAGGTAGGTCTTGCTCAGTCTTTTGAAGTAACTGCATCCATTTTTATTCTATTTTCAGATATCATTCAGTGTGTCTTACAGTATGAGTCAGAGTGATTTTTATAAAGATTTTCAAATAGCTACTGGTGTAGTATGTTCTCTTGGTTTTCTATATGGTGTTTATAGAACCTGGGTATGGTCAAGGCGTGCTGGTAGAGTGAACATTGATTTTGCCACTTTGATGAATTTCTTATTTTTCCTCTCTGGATCATTGTCAAACTGCTTCTTTGCTGTGACTTTTGGTATTTCTTTCTACTGGCTGGTGTTTTTCAAGGTAGGTACAATTTCATGGCCGTACTTTTTAATGAATTATTGTACATCACTGTATATAACTTGTTCATCGATTTAATCCACAAATTAAACACTCTTTCAGCTGGTTTGAAATGAGAGTTAACTTTCAGTATAATTTATTTGAACATGTGAACATAGTAACTCACTGATTTGGAGAGCATAGTCTTTGACAATATCCTGAAATCTCTGTTAAGTTACTTCGGGTCTTTCTCGAGCAGAGTACCATCGTTAAGTTGTTGGCAGCTGTCTCAAAAATACGAAACGACGATGGAATGATTATATTCAGGGTACATTTCAATACATTGATATGTACCCAGGGTACAAAACGATACCCGGCTCCAGAACGACCCTATCAGCATTAGTTCATGGGTGGTGATATGATTTACATATTCTTTCAGGGTCAAGATGCTGCATTTCTGGTTCATCCATCAGGGAAAGGTCTAGAAGAGTGGACGATTCTATTCATTGTAGCTTTTGTCATGAAGTTTCTCAACGTTATTCATATCATTGTCATGCAATGTATAATTGACATTTTCTTTATTGATTGGGAACGTCCTATTGCTAGAGCTATCAATAACCAATCACAAGATAAACGTTCCAGACAGGAAATGCCAGTTTCAATATGGCGGACATATTTTGTTGCTAATGAATGGAATGAACTTCAAGGAATCCGTAAGCTAAATAAGATATTCCAGGTTTTTGCTGTGTTGTTTTTTCTGAAAGTTGTTGGATTTGAGAATGTTACAACTATGGATCCTGATGGTAGTGTATCCAAATCAGATGATGTTTATAAAAGTGAAATGAGCTATGTATTTAGATATGCTATAGCTTCCCTGATATATATTCTAGTAGGTAAGGAATCATACAGTTTGTTTAAGGGACTATTTTGGCTACGCTTTTAAGTGCATAGCTACAGCAAAGGCTTTCATATATTTGACTGTACTTGTGGTATATACTTTTCTTAGCGTCTGTTATCATAGCTAAGTAAACTCAACCCATAGCTATCTGTATCACTTTTCAGGATGAAAATCTGACATCAGTTTGTTGTTTTTTTTTACCCTTTTTCTTCAAAATCTGAGATGGATTGTACATTTCTTTGACTTCTTTTTGTAATGAATTATTTGGTTTTATTTCAGCTATTGTACAGTATATATTCTTTTCGTTTATATATGAGAGATTTGTAGAAGATAAAGTACAGCAGTTTGTTGATCTATGTTCTATGAGTAATATCAGTGTATTTATAATGTCCAATGCTAGATTTGGTTATTATATACATGGTAGATCTGTACATGGGAGGTCTGATACTAATATGAGAGAGATGTATGATATGATGAAGAAAGAGGAGGTCAGTATTGTTTCATTGTTTAAGGAACAGGTTTGCCATCCATTTGACCAGCTAAGCTAATCAGTTATAGTGTTCACAGCTCACAGTCAAAATTTGAGCCTTCAAGTCCATGTGTATCCAGAATTATCCGAGTTGGAAATTGAAAGTTCAAACTCTGGCATAGGAAATAATTGTTAGTTTGGGGTATTTTTGAAGGAATTATGCAATAATTGTACATTTCTAGTAATTCTGAAGATTATTTATGTATATTGGACACAAATCATCCTCCCAAAATGTCAAACCATGGCTTTTAAAAGATCATTGAATATTGGTGAACATCTAAACATATTGTTAACTTGACAGATTATTTGATTACAGGAAGATATGTGTGGTAAAAGAGGACTAGAACCTGATTCTGATGAACAAACATTTCAAATGTCAGTACCTTTAAAACTACGAGCTAAATATGATCAAATATACCTACCAATTGCTTTAGAGGTAACTAGTTTTTTATATCTTATTCCTGAGAAAGCTCACTACTCTCTTCAATTGAAAGATCACATTTTTACTTAACTCAAATTTTTCAAAAGGTTAACAATGACAAAAAGCAAAATTTTTCTATATTTCGGGTAATATGTTAGCAGTAGACAAATATGAAATTTTTATTTATTACTCTCTGTATATCAAATTGTATCTTATTGACTATTCTACAGAGAACTACAGCTGTTGGTAGAATGGAACAGGGAAAGGGAAGAACATCTTCATCTTTCGAGAAAAGTATAGAATCTTATTCTGTTCTGAATAAATTTCTTGGTGCCTTCATTGATCATGTAAGTTGACTTTATTTTGTGTATTGGTACTAAACCTCTAAGAATTACAGGATTACTAGATTATATTCTTTTCTTGTCATTAAAATAATCCTGTCTCAGGACGGTCTAAACCACGCTCACGTTCCCTGTTGGTGGGTGAACAATCAAATGTGTGGTGAATTCTGCTTCTTTAAAAGGAAGATCAAGTGTTTAAGTAAAACCACTTTGAGATTTTGAAATGTTTTATATGAACATATGTCTGGTTGAAATATTTACTTAAGTAAATTTTAAGCAAATTTTCATTTGGTATTTTTTTGTAAGTTCTAAAAGTAACCATATGAATCAAACTTATCCCCTTATAACTTTTAGACATTTTAATTTGTGAGTTTATTTTGAAAACTTCTGGTTATAATTCCATCAAAAGAATTGACCTTTGTGCATTATTTTTTTTATTTATAAATGATTTATTTTAGTCGTTTAAAGATTTGGATTATAAAATCATAAAGAAATCATTGATAGAAAATATATTAGATACAGAAATACATGAAACATATGATACTGGAGTCTTATATAATGGTTAGTACCATTTTTTTTTTCACATTTTCTTATTCCTATAGTTCTGGTAGGCCATGTATCTGAAATGGGAAATATTTTGGTATATAAAAATCGTTGAAGTTGTGATGCCGTTGTGGCAATGGTCAAAATCAATTTAAATTCTATAAAAACTGTAGCTAGCTGATATTGAGCTACATCAGTTGGTACAATACATAATTATATCACTTTAAATAATTTGGTTCTAATATTATATATAATTTATGGGTTCTGTCTGTTCCAATTCTGCCCCATTCTGGAACATGATGAAAGCAGGTGTGCCACATTCAAAATTTTCCCATCTATTTCCTTCTCTGCCAATTTGAATGCTGTCTGTACTTACTATTTTTTTGGCACACATGGAATGAGTCCAGAACTCTGTTCCAAATCGTTTTATTGAAGGTTCTGTTGATTCCATAAATCCTGAAAGTGCAGAACTCACTATTATAGCAGCCATATTTTTTTATTATTTTTTTTTCAGTATATAAAGATATTTTATTTTCTCTTGTAGATAATGGTCATTCATTTGATCAAGTATTATTCTATGGTAATGAATTAACGTTGATATTATTTGATATTTTAATGTTCTGTATGGTGGACTATGCAGCACAGGATTTTGTTTTAGCAGGAGTTCTGACTTATTTAGTCTCCGAGGTAAATATTTGTCTTATAAAATCTTAGCTAAGAGAGTCACCTATACCTGTCATGGAAGAAAATCCTAATACCTGTCAAATGCACAATGAAAACTACATTTTTAAGTTTGAATAACTTGTTTTTGCAAGAAATAGTTCTGTCAATCCAAGTAACTGCAGAAAAGACAATATTTGGTACAAATGATACTGTTCTGTTAGTACTAGGAAAAATGAGTTCTATTATTGTATTACAGCTTATAACAATGGCACGTACAATTGGTGGAAAGAAGAATTTGGCCAGTAAAACTTTAGTTGATGATAGATTCTTAATTTAATTATCAATCGAACAGGTTTTAAATTAACTCCAATACAGACTACAGAGATTTTAGATGACAGAAGTGTATATCATAGTGAAATAATAGTAGTGCTTTTAATGCGAATGATATGAGAAGTGGCCATAACTGTTAAATGTGTTACCTTATTTTATTCTCAAAATCATGTTTGATTTCACTTTTTAACTTTTAAAATGAAATCTTTTAGTTTCAATTCAAATCAGGACCATAACTTTCATTTCCATCAGAACTTGTAAATTGATGTTATATATAATGTATATAATCTGTACTGTAAATAACAATTTTAATTATAGTTTTATTATATCATGTTATATTATTGTTGATTGTCCAGTCTAATTAAAGTAAGACCAAAATTTTGTTCCCTTTTTTATTAGCTAGGGTATTACGAACGGGCCTCTTGAACATTCGTCGAAATAACTTTATGAACTGACCTGATGACCCCCACCAATCAAATTTCACTCCAGCGCTTGGATTTTGTGAGAGAATGGGTATATTAAAAATACAAGTTAATAAAAAAAGAGAACAAAAATTTGGTCTAAGTTTAATTGGTGTATCATCATTTATATGTATATTTTTTTAAATGTTTTGTTTTTTTTTTATCTTGATTCTGTAATATTAAATGAATCTCTCTGTACCATACTTAAAAACCTAGGAATAATATATATATATATAAATACAGCCTGTCTACTAGACACCTAGTGTATATGGATGCATAAATAATCTATCTAGGAGTAAGAATGCATATCAAATAATTCAGACACGCACAATTTATCCGTCCAAGATATATCATAAATCACAAGTTTCTTTTTTGTACGCCATGAACTCAATTAGTATGAATTCCATTTTCGACTATAAATATTTATTTTTGTTACAATAATTATTTAACTGTCAATAAATGACATTTTTACTGAGTATCTGTTATTCCAGTTAATAACCCTGACCTTATGAACTGCACTCCATTTTATGATGGAAAACAGTGGTTCTACTGTGAAAGTTCTTCTAGCACTCTGAAACATATTCAGCTTTACTTAAACTACCAATGACTGACCAATGACATCAACCTAAATTTGGATTAAAATATTTTGAATAAATTTGCATATGATATTAAGCAGTACTGGATATGACTTACTCATAATTTGGGAGAGGGGTAATATAGACGAAAGCCTGTTCCCGATACCTGTCTTTTTTATATTAATGAAATAGTGTTTACAAAAAAGAACAAGTTTATCATAACTAAAGAGACTAAAGCTCATATTTTTCAGCATTTGGGGACCAAAGAACATTTTTGAAAATCGAAGTTTGTCTGTAGCTGCATATATTCAAGAATTTAGTTGTCTCCCTTTGTTTTTATTTATCTGAGTTCATTTTCATCACTTCACCTTTCCATTTTTGAAACGGTTCCAGTGTGGTACGAAATTTAACTTATTGGTTGAGATTGTTAGTTCTATATGGTAAATATTTCTGTAATATACTGCAAATCATCAAGTTGCCGGTACGTTTTATAGCCTTCTCGTGTAGACTATTTATTGACCTATTCTTCCTAGTTATTGTATCATAGAAGTTCTATGTTATGAACTATCAAATTTTACTTTGACTTTGATCCTATCCTATAGCTTAGACTATAGACTTAAAATGAAAATCCCAACCAAAGAAAAAATTCTACAAGTTCTATTTGGAAATATGATTTCAGTTGAACATGTCAGTCAATTTCCCAAGTAATTTCTTAGTGGAAGTATTTTCATTTCAAATGTTAAATTTCCAACATTCAAAGAAAAATGCAGAAATTAATATTTCAAAATTCTTAGAAATGCAAGAAATTTTTGATTTTGTATTTAGTGTAGACGTAGTGTAGGTCTAGGATTATTTCTCAAATCACAATTATTAAAGTTGCAACTTATACATTATTAGGTTTTATTACATTAAATAAATATTTGTTGTCAAACAATGACACACGTTTAAAAGAAAATAAATTCTCTAATGAAGAAAAAGTATCAAAAAAAAATTCCTATTTACATATTTTAGTTACCGGTACTAGTTAACTTACTGATGTTTTTTGTTACAGGTACTTGGAATTTGCTGCAAGATATAGAAAAAGAAAATCAGACTAAAATGCTTAAAAAAATAGTTAGTAGGCTAAATTCAACATATTTTATTAGGGATTGGCCTAGAAAATTTTCTATTTACAATTTCTTCTGCATTTGGATGATTTTAGTTGTATGCCGTCATTCTGTAGGCTTCAATGGCGTTTCTACCATTGACACCATTGACCATTGACACCCCCCACAGAAAAGATGCTGGCCCGCCTTTGCTCCCCTCCTTTCAATTTTTTTTATCAATTTATATAGTAAAAGAATGGTCTAAAATTTTTTTAGGTTGTGTTCCTGGTTGGAACATATGTTGGTGTGTATATAGATCAAAATTATCAGGTATGTGATTGGAAACTTTTCTCTGATAAACAAAGCTGAAAAAAAGGAAACGCTGAAAGTGCTAGACGTCACTTATCATTCTGTTTCAAATCAGTTTGCATGTGGGCTTGTTCCAATTTCAGAAAGATCGATAAAATTCTGTCACATAATGAGCCATTTTGTTGGCATACAAAAATTATATTTTGAAGCTAAATTTACAATATTTTTCCATAATAGCATGATTGTTCTATTCTATTTCAGATGCCTAAAGTTAATCCTGAAAAGCTATTGGAAGATATAAAAGAATTTACTGAGAATTATAAAAAGAAATGATGATGAATTTCCCTTTTCTGTGATAACTTTTAAACTTCAGGACTTTTATGAATATTTATATGATATGTGACTCTACACAAGTGTTATGCATTAATGATTATGTGTGTGAAAAATAGAATTTGTTTCATTTGTGCTTCTGTCATTTGGAATTTATGAAATGTGTTGCCTGATTAAATTTTTTCCCCTTGAAGGCTAGAGAAATATTAAATCTGGCAACTCTTTTTATATATTTCATTTACCACCAGCACTTGTTCGACATCATCTTTGTATCAAGAGTATAATATAAGATTTACCTTTACACTATTTCCATATTTTTTCTGAAACTGGTTGCAGTACCCCATAGGAAATATCAGACATGCTAGAAGAACTCAAAATGCTAATTATTCAGTGTGAAATGACATGGAATCAACTTAAAATCTGAACACATGATACAATTCAGATATTCAGATTGTGTTGTTTTTTTTGAAAGGTTGTGAGTTTAAAACCAGAATAGCTTGCTTTGAAAACAAGAGTTAAAATTCCATTAATTGAGCTTGGGCATACAAGGGATGAGATTAAAAAAAGGAAGGCTATGACGTTGAGCTGTGAACAGTATAACTGAAAAAAATCCTTTTTCTATGACTAAGGTACGATTGGCAAATAAAAATGGCGCATCTGTCCCTTTAAGTGTGAAATACATAAAAAACTCAATAAAAAACGGCAATTTATCATTTTCATCACCAGTAACAATTACACAATGATATATAAATCAACATATTATATCATACACTCAATCTCATTCTTTTCTCTCATACAAATATAATCATACATAATATATTCATACATAATTACATAGTATATAGTCAATAATAAAATATATTCAAGTGGTTTTCCAGTAAAATCAATGTTGCAAATGGCAAGAAAATTTAATTAATTTAGTAAATAGCTTGATATTTTGTTTCATTATTTTATGTGTGTGACTTCACTTCAATTCACATGATTTAGAATGACTGAAGTAACACATAGAAAATAAACAAAACAAAATATCTAGAACTGTAGTTTATAAGGGTAAAAATATATAAATGAAAAATATTCATGGTTATATTCAGAAAATATGATCAAAATAAAATATTACAGAACCTCTGGTTTAAATTCTAGAATACAACATTCAGATCAGATCATATTAAAATACTAATTAAATAAATTTCTCAAATGACCTTATCAAAGGATAAAAGAAGTTATACCTAATAACTTAATATGTGCGTACATTTCTGGTTCCAAAAAAATATGCGGCCTATTCTTTTTGGTCAAAGAAAGTTGTAAAGGACGGACTTAAAGTAAGTTATTGGAAATTTTCATTTCTGAGCCCTACATATTGTCTTCACTAGATTTGCTACTTGCTTTGGTCAAATATTACAATATGCTCCTTGGTGAACTAAACGCTAACTAATAGCTAATGGGCTCTATGGTTAAAACACGAAAGGAAAACATGGCTCTTTAAAATTGCTTCTCACACCATAGTGATCACCGGATGCATAAGGTTGCGACAAAGAATTGCGGTCATAAGTTTACAAGCAATTCTCGTACATCTAAGTTGTGATCAAGCAACTGGTAATCGCTATGGTGCGAGTGCATCTTTAAACATCAACCTAATATGACAATGAAATTCAATAGGTTTGTTTCTATCTAAAAGCTACAATCCTACAATTGCAAAATTGATATAAATGTGATAGAGATTCTGTAGACATTACCTCTAAAAATATGGTGATGTCAAACCTGAATCAGACAATGTGGTATATTATAAATACTCTTCATAAAACAATAAAAAAAGATATAATATACTGCTTTTATGAAATACAATTACTATATTTATTACAGGCAACGTTTCAACTGGGGTTCTCTAGTCTTCATTGCCTGATAAAGACTAGAGAACCCCTAGTTGAAATGTCGCCTGTAATAAATATAGTAATTGTATTCCATAAAAGTAGTATAATTTTTCTTATTCATGCCAATTACTAAATGCAACTCAAAGAATATAACAATAAAAGCTGTAAATCTTTTGAATTATGCAGCACTAAGAGTTTCAGAGGTTCCTTGTTATTATTAATAGAGAATGTGAAAGACTTATCTCGTGGCTAATTCAATGCCTGAATAACGTGAGACTATTTCAGGAAAAGCATGACTAATTATCAAATATAGCAAAATATCTTTGAAGCATTCTCAAAATTTCAACTGCTTTTACATAAAAAGTATTTCATAAATGCCACATTGACCTGTCTTTGATATGGCACATTAGATATGAATTATGTTTTATAAATAATATATAAATAGGAATGTTAAATTACTGTGACTCTGTTCTACCTATGAAATATGGAAGTTTGATGGTACAAGTGGTATCACAGTTGGTCTCAATCAAGAGAGCACTCAAGAGAAACTAATGCTTGGGATACAATCAGAGTTTTGGTCATTCATTTTTGTTGCTAATTTTGAGTAGATCTTGTGCGCCCACAACAAGATAATTTCTTTGCTGACAGGATTTATCATATCAAACAGGTTTGATATTTTTCTGCGCTTTTTATTTCGAAGAAGATTGTTTTCTTTATGTTCCCGCAGGCAAGATGAGACAAGAGCAGAGCATCATCATTCAATTAGGGCCGTTCTATTTTTAGTTAATCACCAATTAAATATGAAACCACATGACACTTAACATCACAAAATGGCAAAAAATATAAACGACTAGGGATTCCTCTAGTTCCCACAATCGGTCAGTTATTCTAGTCTAGGCAACCAAAACCGTTCGTGTGCACCAAGCATTAAACACATAATTGCCAAGAAAACAACCTATCAGCTGACTACTGACTGTATAAAGTTTCCTACAGCCCTATTATCTGAACATGCTAAAACAATGACTATAACAAAGGAAATGAAACCATCATTGCGTTTTAATCACAGTGTGATCTCAAAAGGAAGTTCAAAAGAAATTTAAATACACTAATAAATATAAAGGCCAAACCTGACCTAACAATATCTGTAAAATTAACAAGGAAAAAAAACTGAAAAACAAGCTTTAACACCCTGGCCAACATTTGCCATTTCAACAGTTTAAAGAGGCAGTGCGCAAAAATTGTATTTTGCTAAATTTTTAAAATATTCATACCACCAGTGGTTAAGTGGTCTTCACACCATAGTGATCACCAGTTGCCCATCCAACTGAGTTGTGAGATGTGTTCGCAACTTATGGCGAATTTAATATTGGCAACCATTCTCAAACGGTAATCACCATGGAGTTGGAAATAAAGCTTAATGGTGGAAATATTTGACTGGTTTTGAAAAATAATTCTTTAAGAATTGTAGATCAGGAAATGAGAATTACTCCCTCTATTGAGAAAGGTCACTTCACAATATAATCAAAAACCTATATAATCTTGAACACCGGGAGAAAAGGTTTCGATACAATACTGTTTTAATGAAGCTGGTACACAATATCCCTTGGTGGCTGTGATATAAATATCGTATTTATAACTTGCAATAGAACTTTCAGCTCATAGTGAATACAGGATTCATTATCTAAAGATTGCATATATCAATGTTTGCATTATACTTCTTTAAACAACATTTTAAAACCAAATTTTTGTCAACCTTTTAACTCGAGAGGTCAAGCAAGAAATACAAATAGCTCAAGTTTTCATTAACTGTATCCTTAGGTCATTAAGACTTTGACAAGATAATCCTTTGAGCAATAAAGATAATATTCAGAAATATATTATGCTAATTTTTAAGGAAGAATTATTATCACAAAAGAGGTTAAGAGATTTCATACAAAATTATATACATCAACAAATTTGGACCAGTTTTTAACTGTAAAATATAAGTTTATCTGAAGATTATAATTATATGTACATCTTAATTATAAACATTTATCTTTATGTATACATTAGTCTTGGCTCAAAATTACTGTCTCTTAAAGGGACAATACGCAAAGTTTTCATTATTCTAAAACTATGTAAATTATACATGAAAATATCACTAAATTTATTTCTAAGTATCTACTGAATTTGTTTTAAAACGGTTAATCAAAAACAGAATGTTAAGTTAAGCAGCCTAAATTAGTTTAGGTGTTTGGCATCATAGAAATTTGATATTTTAATATGATTAAATCCATACAGTAGTTTTCTAACATCTACCCAAAGCACAAATATAAGTTGAGCTCAAGTGAACCTTGAAATAGTTTCTACGTTAAAAAATTAACGGCAGGATTTTTTCAGTTAAAACTTTCAGATAGGTTAAGGGACGTACACTTTCAAGATTTTGGTGTAGAAAAAATTTTGGACCCACGAAAACAAATCTTAATGCCCCTTTAAATGATCCCTAATGGATGTTAGATGATATAGATCTGATAGATGGAAGCCTGAACAAGTTGGAGTCATTTTAAGTGCTTTCTCGCCATTAAGTCTAATTTCTGTGGTGTCAATAAAACATACGCTTCGAATTCTTTACACATTAAATAAGAGGAATAAAAACATTTAAAGTAAATCAACTGTACAAATAGTGAATGGAGGCAAATGGGGGAAATGCAGAACTTTTGAAATGACGAAAAAACTTTAGAAGTGTCCCTTTTTTTTCAAATAAGGATTGAATCCCCTTGATCTCATTTCAACTTGGATTGCACTACAGTTCTTAATGTGAAGCATGGAGGGGTAAATAGTCTAACACTCCCCAACTTTAAGACGATCAGAAAGTCACAAATACACAGAACAAAACAGACATCTGTCCAATACACCCACTCAGGAATCAGCATGGTTGAGACTAACAGTAACTTATTGTCCAATAGATGGTAGTCGAGGTGTAGCTGAAGAAGGAGTTCTGGTTTCCGTTGTATTATTACCACTAGTTTGTCTTCCCATACTATCCACAGACACACTTCTTCTAAATACACTATTTTTAGAATTTTTATTCACTAAAACAGATTCATGACTTTGAGCTAATATTGTTAATGCAGCTTCATAATTGGGCGGAGGTGTTATGGGTTCTTCTGATGATGACATACGAATCTGAAATAAAAGTTTTCCTTCTTCATCAATGAGCTAAAAAAAGGTATGAGAGAAATTCAGAATTTGGTAATAGTAGATGACAAGTTAACATCGGCTACCACATAACCAACACTTAAAGGGATATTAGGCACCTCAATATTTGCTTTATCTGCTTATTCAGCTCTGTGGCATTTATAAGAATTAAAATATGAATTCCGAAGACCAAATTTTATGTGGCCAATAGTCATTACCACACCTAATTGGTATTCTCACAGGCAGACATGATCTAAAAAGAATAGAAACGTACATTTCTGCGTGTTTGTGGTGTAGCAGGATATAAACCTGATGTAATGACTTCATCATAAGTTGGAGGTGGATTATATAAAGATGCATTATCACCATCATCTAATCCTGCCTCAAAAGCTCTTAATGCTGAAAACAAAGGTAAAATAAAGTAAAATAAACCTTAGTGCTTTGTGGATTGGCTGATAAACAAAATCCACATAAATTTAGCTCTCATGAATATGAATGATGAGGCCTATCACACTATCCTAAAATATCTTAAGACATCGTCTCTCAATAATGCACCCCAGTCTGTGATATACAAAATAAGTTGCTTAGTCTCCATGTATCGCTTTCCAGAATGAAAATCCAGCCTTTGGTTTGTCTACGTGCAGCTACAAGTACACTAAAACAGAGTGCATCTCGAAGAGAAACTTCTTACATGAAGAAATTACCATTATAACGTAATAATTACTATATTTTCGTCCTTAGTCTGATTTCCATTCTGATATATAAAACAGGTAAAAGAAAACATTATACCATCAAAGCACCTAATTGTTATATCAAATATCAATGAAATATGACAGACAGCCCCGTCGCCAGGAATGAATTGGTGCCGGGCTCAGATTTTGTTCCAGAGAACAAATCTAAATCTATATATAGTTTTGAATTTGTTCAAAGTCATTGTTAATGAATCAATCTCTGCTGAACTGAAGAAGGTTTTGCTGGGGCTTAATTCTCACTTGCTGGGGCCTAACCCCCACCCTAACGAGGGGGCTGATGACAGACCATTGATGAAGCCAAGCTACATGTGAAAATTCAGTCGCATAATTAACTGTCACGGTCCCTATAGTTCTAGTCAAACTAATTAACGTGTTCCCTGTGAGTTATATATAGTTACTATACAACAGGTAGGTAATTGATTAGTATCCTGCTATAAATAGACTAATTAACTAACTAATTACTCACAATTCCTGTTGGTTCCAGATCTACGTGTTTTTTGTTGAAAACAGTATAATATAATTAGAAATATTACAACAGCCATTCCTATAACTATCATAATTAATATGGTGTTCTGATTCAATATCTGTTCTTCTTCTACAAGTAAAAATATAACTTGTTTCATAATAATAATTTCTCCCTGTCAGTGATGCAAGTCAAATGGTCTGATTTGGAAAAAATGTAAAGGCGTTTGGATAGAACAAGAAAAAATAAGCTGTAGCATTCTGTAGATCCTAGACAATTGGAAATCAAAAGAACACAGTTTAGGCAAATTTTTCCTTATTACCAGTTAATTCACAGTCAAAAAAATTGGATGTAAAAGCTTAACTCTGAAGAAGCAAATGAAAATTAGACCAAACTTTCGTTTCTTTTTTTTCATCTCTTATAGTTAAATTAGCCACTTTAGATGGAAGAAATATGATTTTGTTCACGTCACAAAATGCCAGCTCCAATTTGATTGGCTGGCGTTATCATGAGGCCGCGTCTACACTCTGGAACAGTTTACCATTGTCATTGCGGAATGTGAATTCTTTAGACGTTTTTAAAAAACAACTCAAGACTCACTTCTTTCGAACTGCTTTTAAGGATTTCTTGTAGATTTTATTTCATTCTATATACTTTTAATTGACTGCAATTATTTTAAACTGTTTATTTTATTTTTTATTTATTTTTATGTGAAGCGCTTAGAGTAATTGTTTTTATATAACGCGCTCTATAAATAGTGTATTTATTATTTATTATATGAGACAGCTAAATGTTAGACCTTTATTGAATCAAAAATAAAATCTTTTAAAAAAAATGGAACAGAAGTTTGGTCTAATTTTAAGACCACAAGAAGAAGAAACTTACCACACAAATCATTTTTATAAATACAACTCCCATCAGCACATCGCCTTTCTGCTGGAGCCAGACAATCCATTGATGGAATGTCTTCTTTTACAGTTGTAGTTTTAGCACCTTTATCTCCTTTACTCAGTGTTTTTATATTTATATTATCTATTGTACTCATTTTCACTTCTTACATTGTCTATTTATCAATAAATGTCACATGAATTTCATCTGTTCTGAAATAAAAAACAAACTGTAAATACAGGTGAAAGTAATAACATAACCCTTGGTTTTCACTATTCAAAGCTAAGTACAAACTTAATATTTACAAAAAAAAATAGAAATACAATCCAATATCATTATTCCAAAATCTTTTAGTAGACACGACCATTCCATGAATCGAATGCCATGGGTTTTTAATCCACTTTCAACTAATGTCTTTCAAATGGTGTCTTGTCCAAGATGATTTTCCAATTTAAAGGGGCATCCGCCATAGATCTGGTTATAATCAAATCAAATCTGGAGCATAAATCTTAAGTAATCTCAACAATTATTCTTAAAAGTGAAAGGGTCTGAACATCTTAGACTTTTTCTCGCATTCAAGATAATTAAATAGAGTTGGTTATCCAGACTTTCTTAACATTGTCAAATGGATCTTTTCTTGATTTGGATTTCTCCTTTGAAAATAGCAATATTTCTCAAGATGTACATTTATTTTGAACTCTCAGACGAAACCTTTTAGTGCCACACTGACTATATATCACTGAGTTACTATAGACAAAAATAATTAAAATCACTGATTTGGGATGATATAATTAATAGCCAATATTCTAGAATATCTGCTGGTTCTTTGATATCCGTGGTTAGTTCTTTAGCTACTGTTTGCTGATATTTGGATAGCTGTTTATAACAAATGTTTAACAAACTGTTCTAAATGTAAGCTGTCGCTTTTGAAAGAATTTCATGACTTCATTTCTTGAAAAATAATGCAAATTGAACAAAAAGTATGCTTGCAGATTATGACCTTTGAACTGTGATAGTGAATTTTATACAAAAAAAAGGTTTTAAGTGTATGATATCATCTATTCCTATATGAAAAACTAGTGTTCACACCAGACATGTAGGCAGTCATTACAAGTTGAAGTTTCATTTCATAATTATAACAGAATCAAATTTCAACACAACTTTCTTTTTCTCATTTTCAGGGGTTGATTTGTGTCTGGAATATATGTACTAGAAATGTATGAAAATCATATAATTCTTCAAAAATAAATTAAACTAGGAATTTCTCTTTCTATTTCTATATCTGTCTTTTTTATATAAGTCAGTCTCTTTTTAACTTTCAAAGATGGATAATTAATCCTGTTCACACATGGATTTTAATGCTCAAATTACGATGATGAGCTGTGAACACTATTACTGATGAGCTTAAATATAAAATTCCAAGGTATGATTGGTCAACTGGGTGGTGAATCTGTTCCTTTAACACACACAAAAATAAGAAACTTACGACAAAAATATATTGCAAGAAACCTGAAACTTTGTTGAAACATCAAATAAAATATGCATAACAAGTGTTAAAATTAAAAATAGATCAGAATAAAATTAGCCATACAGCTTGAGACTGACCTATTTTCAGTTAATATTAACATTATTATTTATTATCAAGACATCAATGATTAATATTGTTAATCAGACTAAATAATATCAATACTAATTTCTTCTTCATGATCAATAAATCCATAAAAACCCCATTAATAACTCTATTAATTCAAAATTTAAACTCAAAATGAAACTCAGAACAGATATTTGTTGATCAATAGCTCAGTAGATCTACAATTAAAGGAATTGTAAAGAGGTTTTAACATGAATTTTTTCCATTTTCAGTTCCATGTTTGTGGTTCCTTCAATTCCAGGAAAACCAAGGGTTTCATGATGTCACTATCCCAAAGGGCATTATGTGATGCAAGCATATTTTGCAATAGTGACATCATCAAACACATAGTTTTAGTAGAATTGCAGGAACCACAGACGTTTGAGAATAGGAATGCTAATGCCATCGTTGTTCCTGATACACATAAAAAGTTTAGAAAAGCTCCTTATAATCCGTTTAAAATCTTAATTGAGAGTCAATTAATTATATGACAGACCTGAGTCTACTTTGATTTCCAAGCCAATAGAAGTTCTCAAATTCACTGTCAAACTATTTCGTATAACTTATAAACTCTCTTTTTTAAAAACTGAATAACAACATTGTCATTTCACCATTTCACTTATGATGTCAATTTAACAGTAGGGTAGGCGCAACAGGATGTGACAATGTTGAATAATTCGTCACATTTAACTTTCACATCATTATTTCACAAGGGCACCATTGATTTTGGAACCCTTTGTTTTTAATATCTACACAATACATAATATTCATTTTAAAATCATGGAATTTTAAAAACACTTATAACTTTCAGTGATATTGACCAGTATTTAATACAGTCTTAACTTACCGTTACACATACAACATTGTTTCTAACAGTAAATATACACGACCTTCACCTTTATATTTTCACTATTGAAGAAAGTATACAATATAACGTCAGACGACTAGGTGTTTATAATGTGCCAAATGGCCACAATGTTTGATTTATATATCTAATTGATTGATATTAAAAAAGGACAGAGTCATACTGAATTTTTCATGGGATATTTGCATCATTTCAAACTTAAATCCAAGTAACTGGATAATAGCCAGTTTGGATTTGCATTAGACTCGAATAAACAGACGCTCGAACTTTTGAAATGCCTTATCACAATCTTTGTCCGAAAACCGAACGTGGAATTATTTTAAATAATAAATGTTAAGGCCTACAAGCAGACTGATTATGGGTGGATCTGAAAACAAGCTTTAGCTTGCATAATAATATAGATCTACATTAAGCCATTTCCTGCAATTTTAAATTCTTGAATGAAAACATTAATGTGAATAGCCGAAATTCATAAAGCTAGGCACTGGCTAGGCATGGTTCATTAAAGGATGTTAGAGGTTCGTGTATATACACTGTAGGCCTTCACATAATTTGGTTTGATAACAGCAATCCTGGCCTTAAAACCATTTAAATCAATATAAGTCTTAGCACTAGGATTAGCCTAGGAACTAGGCAGTCAAGGATGACATAATAATGCCAGCCATAATAAATCCGACCATGGAATTGGGTTGACAGTCTAATTATCTTTATGAAAATTATCAGCTTCTTGTGCAAGATTCAATTTTGTCAAGGCAAAAGAAAGTTTTAGCTTTTGTCAAAAAGACTATTAGGCTTTCACGCTAAACGCTGGATAAGTGACTGGCCACTGTTTAGTGTTAAGGAGTTATCTAACTTAGTCTGAAAAATAAGAAGGTGGCGTTGCATCGTCCGGAGAGAAACACGACGACCTCGGCACAAAATGGGTAATCACCACAGCCATAATAGCAGAAAACGCCAGATTGATTTGGCACAAGAAACAGTACTGACAAAGTCATCTTTTAGTCTATATAATATTGAGGTAGTCACATAATACATTTGATCTGTCTGAGAAAGTGAACATGGAAAGAATTAAAGAAAAAAAAATGGCGTCCATTATTTTGGCCTAGAAAAATAATTCATTCGTAGCAAAAGTCCCGCTTGCTTCATTAGAGCTGGGTTACTTTGACTTCTTATTTTCTTTTTTGCTCCTGAGGAGTTAATTGAGGGTTTTGCTGAGATTGAGAAAAAACTGGTCTCTGAATCGAAGAAGAAGGGACTTCAACTTTAAGAAGGAGTAAAACTCATTCCACTTTTATATATGAGTCATGGTCTCGAAATTTTTGGGTTTACTTTCAAAGAGGTCTTAGAAACAATTGGAAATTTCGAATGATAAAATCTAACCGCAATCGACCTCTCCTCAATAAATCTCTTGTGAAAAAATATTGATGTGTTCAGTGCTAAATGGAGTTGTTTCCCTTTAGCTTACCTTTCCACTGTTGTCTGTTCTTTATTTTACACTTTCGTGGATTGGCTAATACATTTTTCTCGTCCAATGAATTTAGAGGTAACATTATTATCTGATGAGAAATTTTGTTTTGGTAGATATCCTATGGTGAAAATTTATTATTTATTTGCGCAATTGAAAGTCTGTAAGTCTATAGTATTGTATGAATTATGAGTTATAGTGTGTGTGCCAGTTAAAAAATACCTTGTTGATAAGAGTAGAGTAACACTTCTTGATTACGTAATTTAGTAGGAGATTCATATATTTTCTTGTGTTCATATCTAAGCAGACGGGTAATGTTAATGTGTTTGCCCTTGAGAAGATTAACTGCACTACTTATCTTTTGTTAATGGTAGTTGTACATTATGTCAGCTGCTATTACAATACATTTACTTGAAGATTGACATAGTCAATATAAAAATCCAAAGTGGTTTATAGTCCAACTCAGTTATTTTTTTATTTCAAGCACCCGTTTACAATGGTAACACAATCCCACAGTCAAGGGGTGTCTGCTGTAAAATCAATCAGAATGTAATGGAATGAATTCAGTATATTGAGCAATGATGGTTTCAAAGAATATTTTGATTAAATAAAATTTGACCATATTAGTTTTCCATTTTGATATTTGTGGAATACAAAATGGAGACTTGAAAACTTAGATCTCTCCATGAAAATAAATATAGGGGAAATATATTTGTTCAGAAAAAAAATAATTCTTAATTATTGTGTCTAACTAGGCTCTTTAGGCATAAATATAGTTTTTACAGTTCCATGTTTCAAAAATGCAAAAGGAATCATTTAATCATAGATAATATATATAGGGTTAAGGTTAATGTCTGACATTGAGGAAGTGGTGTCACTAACTTAGTAATAAATACTCAAAACCCTGGAGACTCTAGAATTACCTTAAAAGTCTAAATGTCTTATTGTTTTCATTTATTTTAATCTAAATCTGGGAATAATATTTTATACTGTTTTCATGTCCAAATAAATTAAAAAGTTTCGGATTAATTGTCAATATTTCTTGACATTTGGTATCAACAAAATGAATCATCATCTTTCCTCATTCAACAGTGCAGAAATATGATATACTAGCAATATACATGCTTTCTATTGTATTCTGTTTTGTGTTTAAACTTGCCTGGGGCAGTTAAACATCTATATTGCTTATTGTTCTGTAATATTACTTCATATGATAGGCAGTGTTATATCATCAGTTGATTGTCAATAAGATATTAGATTGCTAATTTGCCACATCATTCACACAACTTAGTTGCTTATCAACCGATCAACACCATTGAAAATTAGTGACTATTTAGGTTCAGTCAGACAAATTAGGAACTAAAAAGAGGTACAGTAATTTTTTTTGATCGGCTATACAGAATTTTTTGAAGGTTATTGCAGGTAACATTAATTTTTTGCGTTGAGGAATTCAGAGGGAAATCTATGTGTTTAAGGTAAAAATTGAAGGAAATCATTTTTCATAAAACAGTAGATCTTAAAACCAACTTTCTTAAATTTTCAGATGAGTAAGCTTAGTTAATAGTAGGTAAACTGTGTAAGAATTGTAGAAAATTGAAATTTAACATTTGATTTATGTATTGTTGTTCCTCAGTCTGTCAATTAATTTTTTCTTTGGGATGTCAAAGCTCATGGAGAATTTCATTGAAAATTGTATGTTCATTTTGGTGTGTTTTCTAGGATGAACACATTATCTGAATAAGTATTGTAAACTTTTTGGTCTCATTATTCTTTTATTTCAATTGAAAATTTACTGTGTATATTATGTGTAATTTTCTTTCTGTATTTTTCAATGTGCATGCAATCAAATTTTTTTTTTTTTCAGCTTTATTCATTAATTTTTGTGAAAATGATTGATCTTTGATTTCCAAAGAATGTAATTTTGTATTAATTTTTTTTTATTTATTTGATTGCATGGCAGGTTTGATTTCTCTCACTGTAGTTAATAAAAAATGGAAACTCAAGGATTGTTACAAAGAACTACTTCTGTTGAAGAGGTCAGATATAGTCCCACATAGCGTAGAAACCCTGCTTCTTTTATCACAGCTTTCAAACCTAAACACTGCTTGCTTATATAGATTCTTTTCTTATCAATACTTATATTCTGTCTCTGTTGGGGTTATAGACTATAGAAATGCTTTAGTAGTATAGTAGTTAGACAGGTGAAGGGAGATAATTCTAATATGCCTCATATTATTTAAGTACTTGCTGTTGATATTCACTATGAACACAGTGGAAATGGTTAAAGGAATTAAAATTTTGTCACAGAAATATAGGATAGATAATTTTGAAAGCATATTTATAGTGTATAACAACAATACCAGTTTTGGATCCACAGAAGCACTGCACAATTAATGACCTTGGGACATATTTCTCAAAATCTTCCATATTTGTATGATTAGCTTTAATGTGAAATGAAGTATATTTTTTTGTGGTTAAACCAGAAAGGGCTTAAGAACAAAACATCAAATCATCAAAGTATACATATTATGTCCCTTTGAAGACAGACTCTTAGCTCCTTTTTCTCAAAATATGTACGGTACTTTATCTGGCTACACCAAAAAAACTTCTCATCTCGGTCAATTTGTAAAATCCCTATGAATCATTTTTCCTCATTATTTATATGGGGCCCAATTGTAAATGGATTATTAGGAAAAGATCAATGCCAAGAGGTTTGTTACTTGTTAAGTAACTTATCGTTGTTAAATGCAGTAGTTACTTTGCCTTATTTCTATTTAGTGTATAAATATTTTATTCATTTTAGACTGGGTTTGGACATAAACAAGAACAGTCCATTATGTTTGAAGGTGTAACAAATAGTCTAGTTTTGATAGCAGAAACGTGACTTACTTCGTGACTGCTGTTTCTTATATCACAAATTAAGATTTTTATAACCTTTTGTTTGAAGAAGTGGCCTGGCTATACCAAGATGACATTGTACAATGATAAATGTTGGTCTTTAGCAGTTTTGTCACTTATTTAACATATAATATTTATTAAGAATTATGCAAATTATTAGCGATAAAAAAGTTGTTGTTAAGATTTTTAGAAAAATTAGATTAAAAAATATTTTTATCACGTCAGATTTATTAGTAAATTTGTGACATTAACAGAAAATAGAACAACATGAAAGGTTTTGAAGTTGTAAATTAGAATAAGTTCTACATGTCCAACATCAGTATGGCTGCAGGCTGAAAATAGGTCAATTGTCTGAAGATCACATAGTATGTAATTCTGAATAACAACATGAGTCAAGTTTTGTTTTAATATTTCTAGATAAGAATATCAAAATTTAATAATTACATACTTTTTCATCAATTCAATCAAACTCTTTATGAACTAACTCTAGGGTCCTAAATTGCATAGTAGACATTGTAATATAAGTAGAGTATTCAATGTTTGTCCATCTGATTTGGTTGACAGTTGACCAAATATATTCACAAACTTTTCACGTCCTGTCACAAGACACTAAAATTTCATTATATATTGTTAAACAAAACATTGTTTATTCATGGGATTAGTTTTTCCTCATCATATTTTATACTTTCATAAAACTGTCAACATATTTTCATATAGTACGCAATAATTTATTCAGATGAGCTACTGAAAGTACTTCAATCTGGTCATATTTTTCTTTGTGATTTGAAGGATTTCTGAAAAAAATACTGTCAAATTTATAAAAATTGGATTTAATCTGTATAAAGGGATTTAAAATGCTTTTATAATAAGGTAAAAGTATGTAATTACTAATTATACGTATTGGCATATTGGTACATTTTTTTATGGTGATATTTTACATTTAATGTAGACTATCTTGGATTTTTTTTTTTTAGAGGGGGGGGTGGGGAATTCGTAGTCTGCTTAATTAATATTTCTTAGACAATGCATATTTTTTACAAGATTTTTCATGTAACAATTAAAACTTCAATAACATGATAACATTCTTTGAAAGATAGAGCTATTAAACCTAACCTTGATTGACCCCTATATTTTAAAAGAAGACTACCTCTTGGAATGAACAAAAAATGAAAAGACTCAAACGGTGAAACATTGCCAATAAGAGTATATATTCATTAGTAGACTTACCTGGTGTTATTACTATACAGAATACCTATATAATCTGATAAATCCATAAAACTAAGTAATTTTTCAATAATTTCCTTTAATTTTATTGATAATTACTAAGTATTTATGGAATTATAATGTTATAGATGGATTTAGGTATTGTTATTTGACAGGTAGGTTCACTTCTGAATATAGACTCATTTTGGTCATTTTAGTCATCCAAAGCGGTAGTATTCATTCACATAGAAAAGCAGAAGGGCTATATAGAGTAGAGGAGGGCTAGAAACTATTAGCATGATATAATATTTTAATCATAGTAAATACATGCACATTATCCTGACCACCTGTATATATGACTCACTTTTACTGCATTTTATTGTGCACCATGTAAATCTTGTTTTATCTTGTATTTTGAAACTGTTGATGGATTGACTATGTAAAAGTTGTTTAAATTCCTGCTTGATTTATGAGACTATAAATGTGCATGATATGGTAGTTGTTATTTTTAAGTGGAGATATAGTTTATAAGAGTATATATCTTGGACATATTTTAGTCAAGGAGAATGGAGAAGTTAACAGATATAGAGTTGACTAGTATTGATACAACAGATCCCAAACCAAGATCCTTTCATGATGCTTCAGCCATCTTGATACAGGTAAGTTGTGTTCATTTATTTTTTCCCACAAGAATGATTATTTTCTGTTGTTTTGTATTAAAGTTTTTCTTTTTTTTTTGTGACTTAAAGTTAAATCAAGTACAAATCAACACAAGTTTTTGGGAACTGTTAGAATATTTAGAACTAAATCCTAATAACCAGAGTTTAATTCTAAATAGTGCCATGGATAGTATGTATTGAACTCTATCAGACAGCAAAGCTAATTCTCTTTAAAGGTGTTACAAGAGGCATGTTTGTTCTTGTGAAGATACAAAGAGATATCTTTAATATTTGGAAAATCAGTCGCTTTCAAATTCATTATTTTTGTGAAACTTTCTCTTTATGGGCCAAAATTATGTCAAATATTTGACATATTTTAACTTAAAAGTCCTTTTATATTGTGACATTAACTGTTAAAGAAAATTAGGATTTATAACTCTGTTTTATTTTATGTGTGATTAAATATTAAATTGCAGGAAGATGATATTGAAACACCATATGGTAATATGCATGTTGCTATACAAGGGGATAGGTCTAAAATGCCTATTGTCACTTTTCATGATATTGGATTGAACCGTGAGTTTCTTTTGTTTTTTAACTGACCATCTTTAAATTGCGCTTCGATATATAATCTGTCATTAGGAGATGGTGTGGAAATGTGCATCGATGTATTTAGTAAATTGCCGCAAGCATATCCTATTAGCTTGTACTCCACGGAAAAAATCTAAATGTCAAGTTATATTTGTAAATTTTAGTCTCATTATTACCATTGTAAAAATTTTTCAGATGTGACATGTTTCCAAGGGTTTTTTAGCTTCCCTGAAATGCAACCTATTTTACAACATTTCTGTGTGTATCATATCAATGCACCAGGACAAGAAGAAGGAGCTATGCATCTGAAACCAGAGTAAGTAACTTAGAATCTAATAGAAATGATATTTATCCGATTGCAGTTTGTTTTATTGGATTTCAATTGTGTTGCAAGTTTGAAATAATCTGTTGAAATTTTAAGAATTGTTTGATTTTCGCCTGAATCGTTGCTGTAACATCTTTCATTGATTAGCATTGCATGAAGTTAGTATTCATGCCTTAGATTCCAATTTGATTAAACCTTTAATAGGATAATGTAGTTTACATTTGGACGATCTATTTAAAATAAGATAACAATTTTGTTTCATTGTTATTTTTTTTCTTTGTCAACATTGTAATCTAAAAAGATTTCAACCAATCACACTGCTTCATGTGGACTCTGTGTCTAAATGATCTATGAATTGTGGGATAGCAAACCCAAAGTGAACAATATGACCAATGAGATTATGAGACTGCCGATACTCGCTTGTAAAAGTGATTCTGATTGGCAGGAGAGTGGTGCATGATTGTTTACTATAAATAGCTTTAAATGTCACCAGTACATAACTTTGGTATAAATCTTGTTAGATTACAATGGAGACTGACCAAAAAAACATTAACGAAACGAAATTATAATCTTATTTTAATCAGAGTTCATTTTCCCCATGGAAACATAGTATTCCTTGACAAGAAAAAACCTTGGTCCCCACCTCATTTGAAATAAATTGATTTGATTTGCTCCTCAACAGACATGATGTTTTGGGTAACCCTGAATCACTGGGTAACAGGTAGGTTTACTATCAAATAACAGGCTATTCCAAATCTCTATTTCTTACTAGTCAATAGCAGTTTTTACTTCTTTAATTACATCAACATAATAAAATATCTTTTTATTTCACTCAAATTGTTGTGTTAGTCACTGATACTTGTCCTCGTGTTCACTAAAATCAACCACATGATCTGTTATTGTTTCACCCTCGTCACTTCTATTTCTTTTTACACAGACTTGACATTTGTGAAGACATTCATTACAATTAAAGTCACATTGTGTCACAAATTTTGATAACATAATAACCAACAACTAGATTTGATACTTTCACAGTCCAACTTTGAAATCTTAAGGAAAAATGTTTACCATAGTGAGCCGTATTGACTTTGGGCTAAGAAATTTGCTTTTGGTATTGGTAGATTAGTTCTGGTAGTAGATTTATCATTTCAGTTGAAAGAAATTTAGTTTCTATCTGATCCCCTTCAAGCATGCTTCACCAAAAGATTTAGCCCTTTAGTTTATGTCATGCATGTTTATTATGTTTTCTGTTTTACTGAATATTTTTCTTTAAAATCTTTTATTTATTTTTTAGAATTAACACAATAATGTTTAGAAATTTTGAAGTGTCAGCTTTGGAATAACTTTTAGTTTTGCAACTAATTTTAACTGAATCTCAAGTTTTAACAAATTTGCTGTGTAGAATTTTGCTAATTTGCTTTTAACATTGTTGGCAAATTTGTATGATGAATTATTTTGATAAAAGTATAAGTTAATTAGATTGTTAGTATATTTTTTGAAATTGTGATAACAGTCGATGGTTACTAATAAGATATAATCATATGTGTATTAATAGCATGGATATGATGATTTTAATGTCAAAATATACTTCTAGATGTATCCATATCCACTAAGTTATTGTTGTTATATAAACAATAATACTTTATTTTCAGATTTGTGTACCCATCTATGGATCAGTTAGCAGAAGGCGTACATCAAGTTGTTGAACATTATGAGTAAGTATTTTGAGTAACACAGAAATGTCATTGTATAAGTTGAGATCAATTGATTAAAATATCGATCTCCATTAGCTTGTATAGTTTTTGCTTCTTTTCATAAGAAGTCAGAGAATACTGAAATAAACACTAGTAACTATACTTATAATTATATGGCACTACAGTAAAATGGGATCTCTTATCAACTTTGAAAGCATTTCCCTTGGGTGCCTTATCTAGTTGTTTCCAGGCGCGTATTATCTTCTTGCTGTGTGCAAGGTCTCAACGCCAAGTGTTTCTTGGCTGTCAATTTTTCTGTTTTCCTTTGGGGTCCGAAGACACCAGTCTGGTGTTGCTCTTTAGAGTATGGCCGTCCATCACCCTCTTCTATGTTGGATCTCATATTGGTAGGCATTTGGTTGTTTATATGCTGCATATCTAAGTCTCTCTGATATTCAAGGAACACTTTTTTACGTTAATAATCTTGGTATATTTCAGAATGAAGAGATTTATTGGTTTTGGAGTTGGAGCAGGAGCTAATATTTTAAGTCGTTATGAAGTAAGTATGATATGATTAAAGTATGGTAATGTCTTAAAACCTTGTGAAGTACAGACATTTAAATAGAACATTTCTTCATTTCCCCCTGTTCATTTTCCAGAGATATTAAACTGTTTTCAGTTCATCATGAAATAAATTTATGTATCTGAATGTGTTCAAATTGTTCTTTTTTTCAGTTATTACATGGTGACACCATTGATTCCTTGGTTCTTATTAATGCTACATCTACACAAGCAGGATGGATTGAATGGGGCTACCAAAAGGTATGTCATTGTCATTATACTATCACACATTCTTTCACAATGGTACTTATAATAATCTTCCCCCTGGCCCCTATTTCTTAAAAATTCTCGCCAAAAAAGAAATTGCCATTAGTGTGGAATTTTACATCGAGCACTTTTATGACCAACTTTATCTTGATTCTTTGAGAAAAGAGGGCCTGGTGCCTTATACTTGAAGAAAAACAAGAATGCTGATAATTTTTGAACAATTAGCAAAAGTATTTTGAATTTGTTATATTTTTCTTGTAGATGAACTCATGGTACCTATTCAGCGGTCAAGTCACCAATTTCACTGAAGAATACCTCTTATGGCACTGGTTTGGCAAGGTGAGAAATGATTTCTATTTTGAGTTAGGAAACAATTTGAATAACATGTCAATTGGAGAGTTCTGGACATTCGTGATTTCTACCCTAAGTTCAGTAAAATACGTTAGAACAGAGTTTAGAACGCCACCATAGATGTAAACCCACATGATTTCTATTTTGTAGGCTTGTTTCTACCTCAATTTACTAACTTTGGATTGGAATAAGATAAGAGGACATATCTGAATGTTGGAGCAATATATTACTTCAATATATTCTCTATATAACTTTATTTCATTATTTTAGAAAACAAGATGGGAAAACCATGATTTGATAACTTGTTATAAAGAATATATTAAATCTATTAATGCCCAGAATTTAGGCTTATTCATCGAGTCTCATATGAAGTAAGTACAGTTTTAAGCAATATTTTGGGTCTTAAATCACAGTAACACATTAGCAATTATTGCGAATAATAATTGCAGTTATAAGTTTCGAACCCAATTCTCATGCAACTGAGTTGTGAGTTGTGCGAAACTCATAGGCACTTTCATTATTCATGACTATATTCACTATGGTGTGAGGGTTCCTTTAATTTCAGTTTGTGGCAATACAAGATATTAAGAATATTTGTTCAATTTTGATGCTTTCACTTTTGCAGAATGCTTTATTTATGAGGCCAATATAATTGATGAAAATGATTTTCTTTATTTCAAATATGTTGTTCTTGGCCAGTTTATGTTTTGCCAATATTTTCATACATGATAATATTTTCAGACGTACAGATTTAAATATTATGAGAGAAATGGACCCAATGAAGAAAGCTGCTGCCAGAACTATTAAGTGAGTATTATTCATTGAAAATGAAGTATTCATATTTCAACATGGCTACAGTGCAGTTAGATAAGCAGTAACATACCAAATGGATTTGAGCTAGGAATAAACAGGTACCGTGCCTGGCAAGACACTATGGATACAGTAAAAAATAGAAGTGAACACAGTGCAGACACGATTTGGGTAAACTAGACACCAGACCTAGTCCTTAGACAGAGAAATGTGAATTATAGCGTAAAAGCTTTCTCATTGTGTTTGACTTCAGGTCCAAATCTTTTTATCCAAATCTTAACCAAACCGTTTTGAGAGATATCATCATAAATATGACATTTTTGAGAGATTTTTGGAATAAATCTATATGAATATTTTTGTATATTTGTAGATGCCGTAGTTTGGTGTTAGTGGGAAATAGTTCACCACATATGGAGGAAGTTGTAGATATGAATGGTAAAATGGATCCATCAGAAACTGATTTTATGGTGGTAAGTGCTGCATTTTACTTGTAAATTTTTTTAAATATAGTTAGGGTCTAATGACAGCCCTCTTGAATGTTCATTAAAATAACCTATTGACCTAACTGGATGACATCTGCCAATCAAATTTCTACCCTCTCCATTGCTGGCATTTTATGAGTCGGTGTTTATCAGGTTAGGTCAAACGGTAAATTTGAGTGCTGTTAGACCCTAACTGAAGTAATCAAGATACTTTTAAAAATTGGACTGGGGATAATTTTAACTCAAATTGTATACTCTGTCTTGGTTTTCAGATAGCAGATTGTGGTGGAATGCCGTTAGAGGAACAACCAGGGAAAGTTTGTGAAGCTTTTCTCTTCTTCTTGCAGGGAATGGGATATGGTGAGTATTATTTGTGTTATTTGGCATAAAGTTGAACTAAAAGACTTGAATATGCTTTCTCTTTTTCCTTATAAAAATTAGTCGGTAAATTCAGAATTCATGACCTCTTTCAATATTAGCAACCACATGCAAGTGGTAATCACTATGGTTTGAAGTTCATGATTAATTATTGTAGTGCTTCGTATTACTGTTATTGTTTAAAAATGCTCTATGTTTTCTGAAAGCTTTTATTAGTCATGCACATGGCCCTGTATGCTATAGATATATACAACGTACATGAAAGATATATTGTAATTTGGCAATGAGTTGGCTAATGCAGCTGTCCTGACAAATTTCCCTTATTGCACACTGCATAGATTCACTTCATTTCTCTTTCTTTTCAGTACCATCTCTGCACCAGACTACTAGTGCTGCAGCTGCTATTTCAGCTGAACAGATGAACCACCTAAATCAATTGAAGCATCAGCAATATGGTCAACCAATTCCACATCAAGTTTGTTAAGACTTGCACAGTTTCGACCTCTTCTTAGTGTTCAGGAAAATAACAACATTATAGAACAATCAAAACAATTTCAGTGATAGCTACTAAACGTTAAAATAACCAAAATAACTTGTACAGAATAGTGTTCTATTATGCTAACATTTCTATTGCTTGTTGAACATTTTTAACACATTGACAATCAAGTCTTAATTCTCTGTCTCCTTTTACAGGCCTCTCTGGATATATAACAGATTTTCATAATAATAGCATTAATGGAAATCTGCCAGAAAACTTGTATAACAGCAGTCCCAATTAGCATGTATTACAGATGTAGTAATACCATTATATAGGTATATACCAGGTTTATGATAAAGTCTACAGTCAATGTGTTAAAATGTATAGTTTGTCAATGTAAACTATTCACTAAAAGATGTAGTTTGTCAATGTAAACTATTCACTAAAATGTATAGTTTGTCAACTTGAACTATTAACTCAAACGTATAGTTTGTCAATTTGAACTATTCACTCAAACGTATAGTTATTCAATGTAAACTATTCACTAAAATGTATAGTTTGTCAATTTGAACTATTCACTAAAATGTATAGTTATTCAAAATAGCTATTGTTCACTCATTACTCATCTCTACAATATATTGTGATAATTTCACATTCCATAAAGTTGGATTTTTTTATTCTTTCTCTTATTTAAAAAGGTATAGTGTCATCTAGTATTTGTTCTACCAGTTAGTAGGGCTAAATTTCAACTTTTCAGATTAAAATGTGATGTATCATGTATGGTTCTTCTACAATAAATGATTTACCATTGAAGTATAGGTTGTTGTCATTGTAACAATCACACATGCAGATATTACTGATTGTGTCACCTTTCATAACTTCTGCTGGCTAAAACAAATATTTATACCACGCTATACCTTTAAAGTCTTAATAGTTTTCTGTTTTCATTAGAAGAAAACTGCTTAAACATTCTAAAATTTCACTCTGAACATTTACTATTGCACTAAAACAATGTGCATCCTACATGTATTCCATTATCGATATCAGGCAACATTCTTCAATGAAGACAAGAACAGTCTATTTTTTAGTGGGATAGAATACTTAGTAATTGAATCTTTACAAGTTAGACTTAAATTGCGTTCATTACTACTTAAACTACCTCTAAAGAAAGTAGACTTTCCTTGCTATGAACTGTCCCTTGATAGATATGCACAAAGTATCTTTGCATGCTTATAAATTGTTGTGAAAATGTGTAAATATTTTGATTTGTACAAAAGTAGAAACGATTATAGAACTAAATTAGATATATGCTATTGCTGAATGTAGATTCTTGAATGATTTTTCTGCCTAATTTTATGATATAAGTGCATGATATAACCTACTTAGCACATTGAAACAAAACTTGATAATGCCATGACTAGAAAATATTGTATTATTAGAAAAATTTCATGCCATTTTTCTTCCGAGATTTTGAACTGAACATTCATCTATGTTTAAGTTTTTTGTTTACTAGTGTTTGTTTGTTTGTAAATAAATCATATTTATATCATTATTTCATTTATATTTTATTCTTGGTTATACTCAACCTCTTATTTGAATGTAGAATAAATGATATACTTTCAGATGTTTGCCGTCAAAAGTAGACCTGTCAGCTGAAATTCCAGCAGCTAAGCTGATGATCTCTGACTTTATTTGACTTCAGTTTACTAGGCCTGTTTTGTGTGGTTTTATATGATAGGTATAAACTAATTAGTTGAAATACTTAAAAAATTAAGATCGAAGGGCAAAGTTTCATACACCAAAATCAATCGCGAAAGTTGACTTCTGTCAAACATAAGCCTGCTCGTCCATCTTAGTCAGTTGCAAATCATGGCGGCTGTTTCAAATAATCTATAAATTATAATGTTTCCTATGTCCATAGTTGCAAGTCTTGCTCAGATGCTTCCATCATTTTGACAGGTTGTAGCAAATTAGCATCCAGTTTGAATCTTTGCAACAAACTAATAAAGAAAATTAACTGTTTGGGACAGAAATGAATTGGATTAATCAAATCAAGTAATAGACAGTAATAGCTTCAATTGCTTGCTGATCCAGACAATCATTTGTATATTTTGCAGATACAAGGTAACAAGAATTACAAGAGTTGTCAAAACTGTGCAAAAGTTATCATGTTTATGTCCAACCTGTTCTAATCTCAGAAAATTATTATGTTACAAGATAATTCTTTGTTGATAAAATATTTTGTTAAATTCATATGTATTGATGATAAATTTCTTAAACTATGTTAATGATAGAATGCTTTTGTCAATAAACAATTCTTTTGACATATTTCGTGTTTCTGTGTGAATGAAATAAAATATATCTGAATCTCATATACTTTGAACTGATATCAGTAGCTGTATTTCTGAAATCCGCACAAATTTCCACTTTTGATGGAGCAAATGAAGACACCAAGCAGTGATTGATGGCTTTATATTTCATTAGGGAGTTGTCATTAAATTTTGCATTTGACAGACATTGAAAGCTATGTAATGGCTAACCTATACTTGATGTCCGATAGATGATATTGACGGTTGAGCAGTCATGTCCAGCATATAGAGCCAAAATAACAGCCTTGCAGCAAAGCATTACATTGTGTACAGTGTAATAAGGAAAAAGACCATGGCATAAGCCTAATTGTTCAACCTGTAGCAGATTGGGCCTTGATTTAATGCCTCATCCAAATTACTGCATGCTCCTGGGTAGGCTAAGGTCCCTCAGTAAAAGCATGAAACATGCCCACTTCATAAAGCTATATGGCTTGGATCATAAGGTTTTTGTAATAAATCTAACATTCCAGAAATATTTCTGTATAAAAAGTCTTTTACTTCTACCTTTTAATCTCAGGTCATAATAAAATCCCCACACAATAATACAACATGAATAATCTTACTTTAATTTGACATGATTTATTGAAATGTAATTTCTAATCTTACAAACCTCTTGAATATATATAACCTGATTAATGTCCGAAAACTTGTTTAGTGACTTTCTCGGGAATTAATTCAATCAAATTCGTTATTCAAGTCGTCAAATCAATGTTTTGATTGATATGCAAATGAGCTAACCGTAACATGGATACAGGTAAACAATCAAGATGGCGGCCGAACAGGTGCCTGTGAAACCTGATGATCGAAACAACAGTTCCTAAAGTTTAAATAATTAATGAACTTTTATTAGTTGGCAAATTCAAACTGCTTGAATTGTGTTAAGGAACAAATCCGGACAAGATGTCCGAGACAGTAGGCGGATTTCGAGGGAAAGGTCGTCTGGATGAATCCAAGAATAAATCCAGATTGGCAGCTTTGGCTCCCGGCGAAAACATCAAAGAAAAACAGGTAGGATAAAACGAAATAAATTGTTGGGTCTAAAGAATTGGACAGGCAATTCATCATTATAACATTTCATCTACACTGTCTTGATGTATGACCATGTTTTCATAGTTAGTCTAACAGTGAAATTAACTTCATAGGGATGATAGGGGCACATCATAGGGTAAAATAAATAGGGGAGAGCTGGATATTTTGAGACACTTTAATGTTGTTTTTTTCTATATTCTAATCAGTGTAAGTTTAGTAAATTTTCAATTCAACAGATGATTTTTGCAAGGCAAACCATTTTTTAGAATAAAAGCCTACATTAGATATTGGTAGAATGGAGTTTACCTTTATCACAATGTCAAGCTATTATGAACGGATGTATTGTAAGTTTGCGATAGCTTGACATTGACACCTGCATTCTAGCAATAAGAATAAAACTAGACATACTACACTAGGCCAACTGTTGATAATAAGGTCACTCTCATGCAAAGGATCATCTATTTGTACCCGAGGTAGACTCTATTTTGATACATTGGTAGGCTACAAATCATTTGCTACTTGCTTCAGAATGACAATTTTAAATTTTTCCCTATCTGACCACTGTGGTTCTAATTATAGAATAGAATGTAAAATAGAAATATATGGTTTGATTTTGTTACATAACACAGTTCCCTTCTGGAAATTACATAAAAGTTCCCCTCTCTAGCATCAAATTTCCAAATGCAAACTTTTCAATTGGTGAGAACATGTATAATTGTAAAGAGGTTTTCTAAACTTCTTATGTGTATCTGGGACAATTATAGCTTAAATTTGCACCATTCCAATTTTCATTCCAACGTCTGTGGTTCTTGCAATTTCACTAAAACTAGAGGGGGGCTACCGGAAGCTACTACTGATATCTATGCAGTTTCCATCTGATGTCATCAAGCACTTAGTTTTAGTGGAATTGCAAATTGTGCAAATGCTATCAGTGTCCCCGAAACACATAAAAAGTTTGGAAAACCACTTTATAATCCCTTTAAGCTTAAAGGCTTTTCATAGTTTTACTTGGAAACAAACTATAACACCATATTTTGGTATAGGGGGGAAGGGGGTTTGAAATAAGTAGCCTTGTTTTAAACCTTGTTTTGAGGGTCTATCAACATTGATAACATAATAAAATTTCTAATATTGCCCAAAATAGCAAAGGCATACTAAAAATTGACAAATCAATTCATGATCATTGAATTACATGGGAAATAACTCTTCTTGTATTGTCCATGCGTATTGCTCATATTGATCATTAAAGCTAAGTTGTCATGATAGTAGTGGAAATCTTGGTCATTTATTGTGTTGTGGTAGCCGTTTTTTATTGCCGACATCATAAATATAAGTTATTGCTCTTTATTTTTATATGAAAGATTTTTTACATGACTTTGGGATTTCTCAGATAAGATTGATTTTAACAATATTGTTGATGGTAGACCGAAACATCTGTCTCTATTCCAGCCTCTGATAGCTATTTCGACAGATAGTTACTGGTGTAGAAATAGAAATAATAAGCCCTGTTAAATGGGGACATTCCACATCTCCGGACGTGCAGGGTTAAACCTATTTAGATACCTCAGATGAATATTTTTGTAGTTCAGTCATACCATCATTTTCGCC